TCTAATGATATTGACAGCAATATTCGCTATTCTGGTTCGGCTATTGATGCTGCTAGAATATGTAAAGGAGTAAGAAATGTGTATAATACTTTCCATAACAACAGAAAAATCGAATTCTATGTTGATTATGATCTGTCATTGTGTTATGTTGTTTATTCTTTCATTGTTCTCTCTTATTCAAGTTTTAGTGTATAAGTTCTATATTTTGTCGTTATAGATATGCAATGATTGGGGGAAAATAAAAGGTCTTGATCTGAACATCCGATATAATGCTCTAATAAAATTAACAAATGTAGGTTTAAAAATAATACTTATCTGTTTGTTCTTTTGTTACTTTTGTTGTTCAGACAATGTGCGAACAATGTCGACAATATGCGAGACGAATATCACAAAAATTATCAGAAAATGGTTACTATCCTGATTTAAATCAAACACAATCGTTTAATGTTTCAGAAAAAGTGAATTAATTTTTATTTATTTATTTTCAAAGAGAAAATTTTTCAATTTTTCAGCTATGTATTCTGGTCAATGACATTGAATATGTTAAACGAAAGGTTCTATCATCATTACCAGAATTATTACAATTTCGATTGATCATACAAGAAATGGATACCCATTATTCAAATTCTGATTTTAGTAAAACAGAAGACACATTAAACCGTCTAATACAAGTGGCATCCAATGAAATGGCCAATGTTATCGATGAGATATTTGATCAAGTGGTTGCACTTGTTTATGGAGCACTGGAAACAAAAATACGAGCCTATTATAAAAGTGAAAAAATATCTAAAGAAGATGTAGTATTCTCTTTCTTGTGTTTTATTGTTAAATAAACTAATTTACTTATATTTTTCTTTTAGTGTATCACATCACTCATATTGTATATCGATATAAATTTGAAAATTTTATATGTTGGATTAGAAAAAGCACAATATACAGGAATAGCGGGTACTGTAAGGTCAAAAACATTTCAATATCTAATACAAACATTACCGCAGAAAGTTTGTTATTCCTAATTTATAGAAATAGTATCATAAACATAATATTGTTTCATTTAAGGAGCCACCAGAATATTATCAACGAGTATTATTGTCACTTGATCAATTAAGACAATATTTTGATGAAATATGCTTACCAGTAGAAGCTCAACTTGAAGAAGTTAAAACGTTTAGAAGGCGTTTGGAATCTTATGCATTGACAACTGATCAGTTACAATTAAATTATTTTGAAGAAATGTTGGATAATACATCATTTGTAAATATTAGAACTGATACGTGTATCTCTATCTCATCTCGACTAATATCTACTACGTTTTAGCTTAAATTATCCTCCGTATATGGTGAAATATTGTTTAAAGTGGCTTATGAAGAGAAAGGCGACTTGATTGAATTCAATATAAAAAGTATGTTTTTTTCTTTTCTTTCTTGTTTTAGGAAAAAATTTCTTCTTTCGTTCTAGTATTATCTTGTAAAAATTTGCCTGTGATGGATTATTTGTTGCGTTCATGTGATCCGTATGTTATCATAGAGTTGTTACCATCAAAACCATCAATACAGTGCAAGACAGCTAAATTAAAAGAAAATATTAGAGGCAAAATTGTCAGTATTCTAAACATCGTTATTGAATTTACCGGGATGTCGTCATCTTCAACCGTTCTTTCAATTACTTGTCTTGTTTGAGCCACAAAGCCTTCTAATATAAACGGCATAATGGGTTTAAACCATTCTGGATAATGAATAATGGGTAATTGCAATCCAATTGTTTTCCAATATCTGAATTTATAGAACAAAAGATTTTTCTTTTGAAAATACAATTTAAGGGACCCACCGCCCCTCCGTGATAATGACCCTCGGACAAAAAATCCGTTCTGAGATAAGCACACGGAATGATAGCCTGAAGTGTCTGCTTTCAGAATCGATATCCTTTTTTGGTTACAGAAGTGATTTTTTCTGGGAGCTCCGAAAAACCGGAATAGTTTTTCCCTAGATACTTATGCAATTAAATTCTTTTCTCAATGCGTATATTGTAGAACAAACTTTTCTGATCAAAATAAGACATTGCAGAACTTTGTATAATCTGCATGAAAAAGTTACAGGCATTTCCCTAAAAGCCCTAAAACTGAGCATTTTATACAGCGTTTAATACCGCACCTTGTCCACATGTGAATTACACCTAAAGTATTTCCCAAAATGTTTTAATATACTTCAAGCAAAAGAGTTAGGATTTGTTTTATTTTAAACTAGGCACCTAGCTACATGAACTGACCGGCGCCAATTTTTCAACTAGGTTTTTGTCAAATTGAGGATTTGTAGAAAACTAGGAAGCGTTTTTCGGGTTTTTGAAGTTTTTGGTTGTCTGCAAAACGAACAAAGATCTAATTGAAAAATCGGCGTCAGTCAGCCCATGTAGCTAGGTGTCTAGTTTAAAATAATACAGATTCTAACTCTCCAGCTTGAAGTATATTAAAAAATATTGGGAAATACTTCGGAGTCCTTTTTGCACCTTGATCTCTGAAAAACTTCTAAACCGTAAGACTTGCAGAGAAAAAAATTTTTTAATTGCCGTAACTAACTCATTGTGCCTAACATTTCTGGAAAGTTTCGTCAAGATCGGATGTACGGTGTAGGAGATCATTTCTGGGGAGGGAGGGGGGCCCTTAAGCAAGATGAAGAAAAAGAAGCAGAATTAATACCATAAATTGTTAGTATATTGGTTAGTTAATTAACAATACCGTTCGTCCATTAAACTACGTAATCCATTAACAATGGTTTCTAGTTCTACATAGAATGTACTTAATACATAGGAGGATTGAATTAAATTAGGATCGTAAAGAGAAGTAGTATCATTCAGCAGAAGTCTCGAACAGTCGGTTACATCTTGTAGCTGTATGGAATATAATATATCTCTTGATTTTGCAGCAAGCTAGAATAAGAAGTCTTACTAAAGTAGATTATTTTGATACAATTAGACAATATACTACAAAAACAAAATAAAAACACTTTACCAAATCAGCAGCTCCTTTCTCTTCAAAAAAGCATATCTTTATATAACGAACATTAATTCGATCAAATATTTTTTCATATTTGTTCGAATATCTCATTGATTCTGCAAATTTCTGAACAAATTTAACAAACTCTTTTAATATTTGTAATATAGTTGACCGTGTATTTTTAAATTCAAATGTTTCGGCAATATCATTCTAAAATAAAATGATATAAATTAATAATAGAGTAAACAAAACATGTGTAACATCTATGCCTGAAGACGCTTTTTCATTGTTTTATTTAAACATTGTTTCATATTTGTTTCAGTTGAACAAATATTTAAATCAAAAATAATGGCAATAGTTCTAAAAATAAATATTAAATAAGTATAATACCAGATATCGTCGCATTTGTCACTTGCATACTCCACAAGTGTTTCAATCTCTTCAATACGTTCATCTGATGGTAAAAACCATGGCGCATCAATAACGACACGTTTTTCGTAATGACGAATAAATTCTTGAAATATTTTATCAAACGCTGTTTTCTATAACGAACTTTTAACATAAAATTAGATATTGAATCTATCTTTTTCTCTTACCTCATAATCTGTAAAATCTAAATCAGGCGTTTTTGAAATATTTATTTCTTGAACATCAGATCGTTGATGAATAAGATCAGCAAATATTTTTGTATATGTATGAATTATTTTTTGACTAATCAATGTTGAATATTTACCGCCAGGTCGAAGTTCCATAATGACAAGTAATTTACTTTGATGAAAGGAAAAATTCAAGATATAAACGACCTTTACACCAACCTTTATCCTCAGTCACTTACATTAGACTCTCTGATAAAGAGGGAATATTGTATAAAACTCGAACTTGCGTTAATACACCATTCGATAACTCGTCTAATTCACCGTTCCATTGAGCTTGTTTTCCTGGCTAAATATTAGAAACTATATTTCTAAAGACAATTTCGATATAAGCTTTTAACTAACGTTCTTAATACAATCGTCCAATTCATGTTGAAAAACAAAACAACATAACTGATGATATTCTTCAATTAATAGTGGTGGTTCGAGTTCATCACTCATTATTAAACCACATTCAGATAAACTAATACTTGACTGTTCTGAATCAAGACCTTAAACACGAAAAATAAAACGGACAACATTTTCATTCCACATTTGAAAATACTGTAAAATGACTAAACGTACTTGAATAAATTAGTGATCGCCCAGTTGAACTATCACTCTGTTTTCGTTGTCGATAACTGTTATGCAATATACCTGCGCGAGTAACGAGAGATGAATTGAAACTTGAACTTAAAATTCCATTTCGTCGACGAAACCGAAAACCGTCATAACGTTTTTCGCCATCTATTGCGTCCTTCTACAGTAGATGAGTTATCGTCTACATTTCTGCAAATGAGTAACATCTGTACTACTGTCGTTTTCAAAATAGAATGTGTGCGACTGTAAGTTGAATAACTCCGAGACTTCAATAGCTGCGGATCTGTGGCTTTCACCATCGGGTAGCCACGTCCTTGGGACATAGATATACGTGAAAAAAAATATTTTTGATAGGATTTTGCTAGATTTTCTAGAGAGTCTCTGGCAAACCAGGTGCATAAAGATAGAAGGTTTGATGGAATTTCGATTTTGGGGTATTCTTTCGATAGACCAAAGAGTTTTGTACATTTCTATATAGCCCTCGCATTTTTCTGACCTTGCAAACGAGCGCTAGACTCAATATGCAGAATCCACCAAAACGCATTTTTCAGCTAATTAAAGACAAAAACTTCTCAGGAAAACAGACAGTACGCATCGATATATAGATTTTAGGACACGCCGATCATCGTGGCAGNTTTTGATCAACTGAGAATTCGTTACCTTTCGGCATGATCAGTCAAAATTGTGTGTGATTTTAGGACACGCCGATCATCGTGGCAGGGTTCCTTTTATGTTAGTCTGATTGAAACCTGTCAATTTAAGCTTGGCTCTATCAAGTGCCATAACTACAGTTGCTATTAGGGGTCTTGATGACTAGACAGGAAGACAAAATGATATCTTAAGTAACGTAGAAGTTGTAGAAATATTACAGATTGTGATAGATGTTAGAGTGTATCCATCACCCAGACATCGGCACGCGTTGCATCTTCTCTTCTGTTTGGTGGTCTCGGCTTCTGCTATGCTCTATCGCATCGCACATATAGTCCATTGTCCTCACACGCCGGTGGTGCCCGTTGCATCATCCTCTGTTTTGTTCTGTTGCAACTCATATATAATCCAGCATTGTCTCATTTCATACGTGCTATATGTAGTGGCGATTTCTTTGCAATAAATCACTACGCTACACCCACCGTCCTCCATCCGATATTTCTAGTTAGTCACGCTCTCGCTAGGTGCATCCGCTTACAATAGATCACAATAGATCATTCACTATCACACACAATTTTGACTGATCATGCCGAAAGGTAACGAATTCTCAGTTGATCAAAAGACGATTTTCTTCCGTGTCATCGATTTCGTTGAACGCGAGAAGGAAGGTTCGATTATTCCGCTAAACAACACGATGGCTCGACTTACTACCATACTCGGAATTAGCGAAACCTAGCTTGGCAATTTGAAACGGGAGCTAGCCAAGCAGGTGCAACAGCATCAACAGCAGATGGAAAATGAGGCTACGCGCTCGCGCCGTCGAACGACGTCTGAAAGGGTACCCGCGAAAGACCATCGCAAGCGACGATATTCGGAAGTGGCTTCGAAAAGTTTTGTTGATATCCATTCACGATGAACATCCTGACTGTTCAGTCCAGTCTGAGACGAGTCTGTGGCGCCATTTGAGCAGACTTGACTTTGTCTACCAACGAACAAGTAAAGTAAACGTACCTCTTGAAGGGATATCGTTTGTCGCGCAACGAGCCGCCTACTTTCGCCGCATTGTTGATCTGCACGAGGACGGTGCACATCTCTACTATTACGATGAGACTTGGTGCAACGTTGGCGAAGAGAAACCCCTTACCTTGCTCGTCAAGCCAAATAGAATGTTTCACTCTATTTGGCTTGACGAAGGTTCGACTTCGAAAAGGCGATGGCAAGGGAAAGCGAGCGGTTATTTCGGCTATGATTGACGAGAGTGGATTTCACAAAGAATCGGTCGACATATTCATTTGCGATACCGATCATTCGATGAATTCAGAACACTCTGTCGATTGGATCGATAAGGCTGCCTCGCATCTCCATTTCATTCACGGCCCAACTCCCGTGTCGCGATCATTATTGACAATGGCACGTGGCACAATGAGCTTACAGACAAATCCAAACCATCTAAGCGGTCATGGCGCAAGGATTAGCTGCAGCAATGACTCAAGGAATGTGAAGTATGACGCAAAGTTTACGAAAGCTGAGCTGCTGGAGGCTGCTTTCTCAAATGTACCTCCTATGCGCTACAAAATCAACGCGGCGTCAATGATCTTTAATGTTGAATTGGTGCGTCTACCGATAAAGCACTGCATTCTCAATCCAATCGAATTGGCGTGGTCCCAGCTCAAAGATTACGTCCGCTCCAACAACACGTTCTTCCGTCTGAACGACATTCGCTCTCTTTCCGAAGAGTACACTGTACTCTAAGCAAGTTGCTGCTCTTGACAGCGAAACTGTTTGCCGCTTCATTGACCACTCTCGAACGGCGAAAGAAAAGTTCCGCGCCGCCGATGCCTTTCTGGAAGAGACAATAGAACCAGAACTTGTCGAAGACGATGATCAAGATCTGAATCCTGATCGAGACACTGACTCCTCAGACGAAAACTACGATATCGATGCCTGAACTTCCTGTCTGTTCATCGTTAAATAGCTTGTGGAAATACTTTCAATAAACCACGCTTATTAAACGACGCTATATAATCGATGCTGGCGGTCAAAGATCGTCTCACACAGGATAGCAGGAAAATACAAATGCGTAATGTCTGTTTTCCTGAGAAGTTTTTGTTTTTAGTTAGCTGAAAAATGCGTTTTGGTGGATTCTGTATATCGAGTCTAGCGCTCGTTTGCAAGGTCAGAAAAATGCGAGGGCTATATAGAAATGTACAAAACTCTTTCGCACACATTCGCACACATTCTATTTTGAAACAGTACCTATATGTCACAGTTAAGGTTAGAAATCAAACCAGATCAGATTTTTTATGTGTACTAGGATATATTTCTAAGTTGTACATGCTGTCTACTATACTTTGAGGTGTTATTTTACTAGGAATGAATCATTATATCTATTCAGATATGGAACTAGAAAAGTCCTCATAACGGATAATACCAATATTTTTTGTTATAACATAATTCAGTAAAGATACTAACAATCGATTAACCGACGTTTTAGCGCCCGACATTTGAGCGCCCGACACTTGAGCGACCCCGACATTTGAGCAACCGACATTTGAGCAACCGACATTTGAGCGACCGACAGTTGAGCGACTCCGCAACTTGAGCGACCGACACTTAAGCGACCGACATTTGAGTAATAACGACCGTTCAGCACCAAGTGCTCACCCTCACCCACCCTTACCCTACACAGCCTCACCCTCAGATCTCCAAATAATTTAATTCAAAATCGGACGACAAAAAAATTGTTCTGATCATCGTTATCGAAGTGAATAATCATTCGACTTTCCTGATCGGCAAAAAGTCATATTGAAAAATGTCTAATGTCGGGGTCGCTCAAATGTCGGATGTTCTTATGTCGGCGCTCAAATGTCGGTCGCTCAAACGTCGGTTGACGCATTTTATGCGGATTAAATCGATCTTATTTTATACAGCAAAGGTTCAGATTTATCGATTTTGAAACCATCTAAATCGCCAGCTTTATATTGATATAGACGTAATGCATCGTTGAGCGATTTTTATCATTTAGCAATGGCAGTTAAGCCTGTGGCTTCAACTTCAGATCTTATACGTTTATGATTGATTACTTGTTGAACGAACACCGTGACTATGAGATTCTTCGGTTGAAGATGTAATGACATAAAAATTACGATTAAGGTAGCATATCATGCGTTTATATCTTCGTCAATATGCTCATTTCGTTCGTTAACAAAATGATGTAGCCGACCTAGAAACATGCGCAAACGATCGGGCTTCGTTATTTTTTATACGAGAAGACTGCTAAATACCGGTGACGATAGTGTCGATAAACTGAAATTGAATTGCGTTAGAGATGCTGGATCGCGAGACGATGATGATTGATTAGTATCAGGCACCATTGCACTGTAAAAAATAAAGTGTGCTCGCTAGTGTGCATTTCGAGTCCAAAATGATGTGCGAATTGTCACGTCGTAATCTGAATTTTTATCTTGCGTTTCTCTATGGAAAAAAACGGAAGAATTATCCTTTTCTTCGGTCTTTTTTCTCGTTCTGCTTATGCAAGCTATATGTGCAATTCCAGTGTGTTACAGGCACACTGAACAAGCCGTTTTCAGTGTGCAAAAAAAGTCCAAGTTCACTGTGCCCTGGGCACATTTTATTTTTTACAGTGTGTGGCCGGAATCATGTAAATTGTGTTGATGTCAGAAAAGAAGTCCGAACAAAATTAAAAGAAACCTGCTGCCGGATTCAAATACTGCACATATTTTTACATACATAAATATAAATACATAAGGCAAATACAGTACCTCTAAGGACCCATGCGCTGAACCATCTATCCTTTATGCAAGCACAGTAATTCTTTTAAGTGTCTCTAGGTACAGTGTATTTTGATCAGAATATATTAGAGTACATCAAGCCCGTGCACATTTTTAGACAACAGGTACGACATTCAGAATATATCGCGTCTGACACCTCTCTTATCCTATCGTATTTTGGCTGCTAATGGTCAGGTGATCGTATACAACATCGGCAGAATGAATGTTACATCTTCATTTAGTCGACAATGATGCATATGGAAATATAACTTTTGTATTAACAATTTTATTTGTATGCGTTTCCAGTGTACTGTTGTTAAATGTTTTGGTTGCTTTATTTAAGTATGTTGTCGTTTAATCTCTTCTTCTTCAAACTAAATGTTTTGTGTTTTACTTCTGCAGTTCATCGATTGAAGATGTGGCTGATGATGCGGATGATAAATGGGCATACCATCGATTTTCGTTATTGAATGAATATCAGGATAAATCGACATTACCACCACCATTTAGCTCCATTTATTATTTCTTGAGAATAATAATATGGGTCCGTCGTAAATTATTGATTTATAAACAGAAACGACATAGTACGTCAGGCGTTGGAGTATCATCACTTTCAGACTCAAGATAATTATTACGTTCCTTGTTTTTTTACCAGAATATGTTGATTATGGTACACTCAGTAGTAGCAGTGATTTAAAACCAGGATTAGATAATTCAATTGTTTTTAATGGTGTCGATCAAATACAAGAATCAGGTATTGTAAATAAAGTGTCAATTAATTTTCGTATTGCACCAACCGGCAAACATGCTAAAATAACTCTGTATATAATTACACCAACAAAATATCCTGATAAATTTATTATTGAAAGTGAGCATAAAATTTCATCGGCACAGATTAAATCATCATCCGGTAAACAAAGCATTAGCATCGGTGAGGATATACAAGTTCGACCTAAGCAATATCTTGGTATTAGTTTTGACCATTATTCTGGTTATCCATATAGTACTGAACGTAATCAGTACTGTTTAAATTATAAGAAGTATGAACTTCATAAGGATCTATTATTTATAAATTGTCCTAGCAGGGGTCTCACATTCAGTTTTATAGTAAAACCATGTACGTACAAATTATGTTTTTTATTAAAATATTCAATAAAAATATATTTATTTGTATTTAAGCTACATCTGAAAGAGAAACAACTAATAAAACAAAAAAGAAGCATCCTAGTATGCTTTCTTCCTGTAAGTAACTCTTCAACTATTCATATAACAACAAAAACCTGTAATTTCTTTCTTTTTAGTTCCACCAAGCAGCAAGGAGCATAGGGATATTTTAAAAGAAAACAGCATTGCACAAGATTATTGGCAATTGGTAATTAGAAAAATTAAGAAAAAAGAAAAATCTCAAATGACAAACGATATCAGGCAGAAGATTCTACATGATCAAGATGGTGAAATAGTAGCGGAAGATGATACACTAAAAAAGATGAAAAAGACATACCGAAGTAATAAAAAACGTACAGAAGTGTGATGTGAGAGAAGATATTGTATTTTTACTGGGTTTTTTTAACGATTTTATCATAATCTTAGCTACATAATTTGGTAGGGCGAAGGTTTAAAACGAGAAACTGACTGTTTTTTTTTTCTTTATGTGATATACGTAGCTATTTGGTTTTTAAAAAGCCCTAGTATTAACATTTATCTGTAAAATACAAAGAGACTTGTAGCACTTCTACTCGGAAAAATATAGTCACTCTACGGTGTGAAAACAGTATGCTTTCTTCAAAGATTCAATAGCTATGAATGCTTATTGGCCGAATGGCTAAAATCTGTACGAAAAAATTTCGTGAGCTCGTATTCTTATTTTGAACTGATAATAACAATAAAAATTTATCCTCTAAATCTGAGTGCGTAGAGAAGTAAAATAATTTTGCGTTTTACGATTCCCCGCGCTGGTGCGAAACCGAACACTCGCGACGGCTGATTTTATCTGCGTATTTGACGGCAGCCACTGTAATATTACTGCATACTTACTGACTTGTAATTGAGTACAGTTTTGTTAAAGAAATAAAAGTCAAAATAAAAGGAAAATAACTTAACTAACTGAATTTTTGATATAAGAAATTTTCTTTGAACTGTAGTTATTGTTGCAATCTATGCTAGCAATTAAACCGATGAGTCATCATAACACTCCATCGACTAATACAGGACTGGTTTTAGCGAGAGGGGGAGGTCATAGGAGTACCCCCCCCCTTCCAATGATCGAAATCTTTCCTTTTTTCATAAAAATTCCAAACAAAAATTCACTGCGTGAACAGAACAAAGAATTTCTCGACCCCTCCCCAATCTTAGAAGTCCCGCGCCCTGGACTAATATATAGTTGTTTCCGGGACGTTTCCTGACTTGGCTGGAGATATTTTATGTTCTTTAACGAGAACTTAGTTTAAAAAAGTCAGATTGCTCCAGTATGGCTACCTTCTTGCATAAAAATAGAAACTGTCACTTATCAAATGAGAACCAAAAAATTCAATATATTAGTTAATTTTCTATGAGAGTAAATTTGAAATAACTTGATTAGAACTTTGCACTTACACTTGCGCTTTTCGAAACTCCTGAAAGCCCTATTTGCACCTCTCGTTAACGAGTATTAAGTACAAGTTATTGATTTTCAGTCAATATCTATTCGGAAGGAAAGATGGAATGTCAGAAAAACCGCAAATGATTCGACTTGAGCACATATCTGCAGAAGCTCCAAATAATTATGCTTCTTATGTAACGTATAATTACTAATGCGCGTTTGTGAGTCATACAGCCCATCGACTGCGTGTAAAGCGTATTCATGAATCGATCGACTATACAGACTGAATGTAGCTGTAGCACTTAGTTAACAGAATAGTGGAACGTATTCGCCGAAAACAGAGTACATATGGCTGATTAAATCATTATCGGCGACAACTGTAAACTACTTCGCAACAGCTTATTAAGCGCAAACTGTGTCGGTTGTATGATCCCATGTCTCCATAAGCGGTGATAGGGTTTTATAGATCTATTTCCCACGTAGCATTCATGTAAATTTTAAGCTGGAATATTTGCGCATCCTAAAGGCTCTGAACGCACAGAAATAAGCTCCATATGCGTATAAAAATCAAAAAATTTCGCTCCAGTCCTAGAGGCAATAAAACCATAAAACTCATTCGCATATTTGGATAAGGACCTTGTAATCAGAGTCTTTTTTTGCAAATTTTCTACAAATAGGATATAAAATAGTCTAAATACCGCATATCCTAAAGTTCTCAACCCATTCTGATGTTTACCGAGTGAGCTGTGAATTTTTTAATATAAGGTGAAAAACAGGCTGGAAATTCTAGTTCAAAGTTATTCCAAAAGCACCAACCGATATTCTTTTTTGAAACGTGTGCTAGTATGAATTACAAATGAATAAAGAAATCTCTTCTACCAGCTATAATGGTAGTAGTATTACTTGACAATATTCAACCTCCGGTCCCATATGGTCTATTTTTATAGCAAACTGTCGATTAACTGCGGTTTTTTAAATAACCTCCAATTGGCCGCGTTATTTCGGAGAACCGACGGTTAATCGTTTCTTTTTCAATCACCGGAACGACGATCAATTATCTGGACGTGTCAATTACAAAAAATACAATGCTCAACAAATTGATCTCGAAACTTTTCAAAAAACCCACGGATACTTTCCAATACGTTCGACCAGAGTCAGGACATCCTGGATTTATATTGGAAAATTTAACCACTACACTTGCACATAGAGTTAAACGAGTTTGCAATGATGATATCGAGAAATGGCGAGAATATGCCAATATTGTTCATCGATTAAGTAAAAGAGGATATAGGCCGAAAAACGCAGTGTCACAAATTCAAAAAGTCGACAAAGTAGACAGATTGGATTTACTAAAAGAGAAGAAATCCGTTGACTCCGAGAAGGATTTGGGAAAAAAGACACGGAAGAAAGTACTTGTACTCATATATAACAAACAGTTTAGTCGAATAAAAGAGATTTTTCGAAAATATTCGGCTCCAAACGTAGATTGGTCTAAGTACATTCTGGCATATAGGTGTCCACAGAATCTACATCGTTTACTTGTACACTCAAATCATTTGGGAAACTTAATGGCTATTGTCCCATCATCTGCATCTGAACAGACGGGATTCAAGAAATGTTCAAGAAAATACTGTTTCTTTTGTAGTTTAAGTATAGATAATTGTACGAGTCTCTCCACCACATCAGGAATAAAATTAAATCTAAATCAAACACTGACTTGTGACAAGCATAATGTTTGTTACTATATCCTATGTAGGCGATGCGGGGAGGAGTATATTGGAGAAACAGGAGCATCAGCTCGAGTACGTTTTTTTGGACATACATCCCAAATCAGAGTTCAACGGACTTCAACAGTGGGGTTATACTTTAGCCAGAAGAATCATTCCATTCGGGATGTTATGATTATACCGTTTGAGACAGGTTATCTTAATGAGGATCATCGAAAAGCACGGGAATCATACTGGATAAAGAAAGTAAACCCTACTTTGAATATCGAAAGTTAATGTAACTTAGTGATAAAAATATTTTGTAGAAGTTATAATTTAAAAATATTTATATTCTTAGGTCGCTTATCTCGTTTAATTAAGCTAAATTATATGTTTCTCTCTAGCGAACGAAATGAAAGCGATGTCTCTTAGTCCAAGTGTTGATTTACTTTTCTGCAGAAGAAAATATCGGTTATAACATATCGAAATTTCATGGTTTTGAAGATTTCGATTTTTACGCTGTGCTATGAATGAATAAAGCAGTTTTTATAGCATATTCAAATTGGACATAAGAACCGTCTACGACACTAACAATGGGAAACTTTTGATTAACATCCTTCCTCTATTTACGAACGAAATGGATTGAAAAACACTTCTGATGTTTTTTAACAAATTTGTCAATGGCATCGAGTCCTTTATTAGTGCTGTTATGCTCATCTTACAAATGCAATAGTTCTCGTTTAATTTTTTCCTTTTCTTCATGCCATTTTTCGTTAGTACGAACGAGATCTCGAAAACATTCTTCGTTATATAACAAAAT